ACTTGGTGTCCTTTCTTCTTACAATGGCCGCAGATTTGATCAGCTTCGTCGCCCTTTTTCACAGCAAAAGCAGCCGCTGTAACTTCGGTGTCGCCAATGCCTCGGATCGAAGCACGGGCGGTCTCTTCTTGAATCAAGATATTGTAGGCTCGGGCAACGGTGGGCAGTGGTTCTTGAGACAAAAGTTGCGACCTTATGGAGCCGTATATTGCGTCGTCGACTCCCATGAGGAACTGATGAACCCTTTCTTCCTTTCTCTTCTTTGCTAGGGCTGCCGCAAGTTTTCCCGCACAATCTGTGCAAACACAATCTGGGAATTTGTCGATGTCGGCTAAGTCGTCCCATAATTTCTTCAACTTGCCATAATATGCCATCATGCTAAGTCCCTTTTGTTTACATTCAGATATTTCACGTTTCGGTTGTTGGACGCGAGGTCCGTTCACAACCGAAAAACATGCCTTCAGTTCGTCCCATAGATCAGATGCAGACTCGCCCGTAGAGATCGTGGATCGCAACGATGGTTCAATCGTGTTGCGTATCCATGACACTATAAGCGAATGATTGGTCCACCAATCATCCAAGTCGTCTGAGTCTGGATCCGGCTGCGTTATTGATCGATCAACAAATCCAAATTTCTTGCGAGCCCGTAAGGCAAGGCGCAAGGATTTGGACCATTCGTCATAGTTTGGTCCCTTAAGAACAACCTGGGTTAAAAGCATACCCGGATTGTCGCTGGGTGAGAGATCATATGGCGATATGCGACGACGTCTTTGCACCATGTCGTCATCGTTCTCGTCCACATGATTCTTCGGTGATGCTTTCAGATCCTTTGGGGTTGCCTCGCCTGCCATGCTTGCTGTTCGCCGGAGGGAGATCGTTCACCGTCAAAGGAAAAAAAACGAAGTAGTTCGTATGATGCTGGATGGTAACGTGCGGCTGTAGCACACGAAGGAATAGGTATTTTAGGTACGTAGTAGTGTTTCTGGGCTGAAAAACTATTGTATTCTCTCTTGGTTATTTACAATACAATGGGGAGTATATATATACAGCAAGGTATTCCTAATAGGATTAGGAATGCTAAATAAAAGGAAGCTACCATATACAAGTCTAATACAAATCAAAGACTAATATTCTAATATTCCTTTTCCTTCTCTAACACTCCGTTTTCTTTTCAAATAATTTTTTTTTCAAAAAATGTATATTTAACAAAAGCTTCTAGTGGGGGGTTTGTTTTTGCAGAATTGGTTTAATAACCATGAGAAACATCACACTATTCAAATGATTAGAGAATAATGACACATATGTAAGCAATCTGCAGTATTATGCATCACTCATGTTTGCACTGCATTCAACACTTCTTAGGCTGCACCTTTTTGCATCTGAACTTCAATAGTAACTTCTTATTGTTAACTCTATCCTTTCTAACATGTTTTAATGAGGAGCAAGTTATGAAGGTTCTTTGTATTTGGTAATTTCTATCGCATATAATCAGTTAATGTTTAATTAAAAGGAAAACACAAGTTAATGGGAGCCTGTTGTTTAATCAAAGCAACTTTAAATTAGTTTTTTTCTATTATATTGTATATTTAATATACTGTGTTGTTATTTTTTATTAGATCTACTCTTTCTAAATGTTAATGTCAATGACTTGTGCCTTAGAGAGATTCTAGATATGCAATTTGTATTTTGTCTCGTTATGATATGATGAGTGATATCTATGGTGTGTTCTCAAATTCAAACATCTTTCTTTTATGCATATCATTATGTATCATAAACATTGCGCTCTTAACCTTTTGTGAAGCATTTATGTAGTAGTTTGTGTTAATTTTGCATTCTTGCTACTATACCCTACGTAAATACAACTCGTCTTGACAGTGATTTTTATAAATATATACTTATCTTTGTTTTGATTATTAATGTTAGGATATTCACATATTGCATTCTTTTAAGTTGATGGAGCTTATTATTGTTCCTATGCTACATTTTAATTGATTACAACTACTACTAAATTCACGTTTCAAGGACTTAAAAGATCGGTAACATTCCATGTTTAATTTGAACATATTATGGCTGTGGTATAAATATTCACATGCTCTCAACCATGCATGAAATTATGGGATTGCCCCTTGACTGTTTTTGTGGTGCTGCATTTGTTAAGAGTGTACATTTCTGCTTTTATTTTCTCTTCTTTTTAACTTTTTGTGTTACTTTTTTGTTTACTTTTGTGTTTGTTTGTGTGTGAAATTGTGCAATGTCACAGTCGCGGTAATGCATTTACATGAAAAGGTAATGCATTATCATAATTAAGATTAAGGATAATGCATTATGTTATTGTACATTTTCATAATCAAGGTAAAAAATACCACATTTTGTTATTGTGTATTCTCATAATCAAAGTTGATGCATCTGATGGTGAAATTTTCCTTACATAAATATGATGCAACTATATAGTCTAGATAGTGAATTTTTCGTAAATGATGATGCTTAGGATGTTCTATCTTACATTTGAATATGAGTTAGAAACTTGTTGAATAATGTAAATTTTAAAATATTAAAATGCATAGTTAATATATCCATGTGCAAGATGATAATCTCTTTGAAAAGAATTATTGCCTATTAGCTCAAACGGTAGAGCAATATGTATTACGGATGTGGGTTCGAATCCCACATAGGCAAACTATTTTCAAATCTGTATGCATTCTCAAGTTTTCTCATCACATACAAAGTCACTAATGAATAATTATTCACCGATCCACAAATTAATATGATAAATTTTTAATAAAATTCAAAGGACAAATCAAAGTGGACATATGAACCATCACAGTGCATGCATAATTTATAATACAAATTGCAGCTATATATAAAAATGGTGCATATAGAAAAAACTATTATGTGTGGAAAAAATGTATTTATTAAAAAATATTAAATAAGTGATGAGAAGTAAAAAAGGGTAATTGAGTACGGAGTAGTTTTTAGAAGAGAACATTTATAAATCATACATTTTTTTCTTTCAAATTGCAAATAAAATATATCCTTTGCATCCTTAAAATGCATTAAAATAAAGTAAAAAAGAAATAAATTATTTTAAAGTGTTTAACTGTTAAAAATATTTATTATTGATTTTTATAGAAAAAAGTGGTTCATAAATTAAAAAATAAGAAACAATTAAAATGACTACCTATGAATTATGAAGCGCACGTTTCAAAAAGAAAAGAAATACCCCTTAATTAATATGACAACAATAAAGGCTAAAAAAGTGGAAGTAATTAATGTGCACTCAAGAGTTTTATTTTTTAGCAAATGGCGTAAATGGTAAGATAATATTCATCCATAGAGATTTTACGTGTATTAAGGCATTTTTTTTTCAGGTTTACCCCCACGAGATAATATCTCCAATCTTAGATTTATTCTAGTTATTAATTTCCTAATTATAGCAAAACTTTGAAAATGCATCTTAGCCCCTAATTACAACCGATCCAACGTCTTCTGTTCATTTTCTTCAACTATACTAATGTTATTTATCCAAAATACCTATTAACACTCTCTTTCAAATTGATGCATAAATGTCAAGAAATATCCAACTTGGACAATAAAAATAAAAATTGTCCTTGACAAAGTTTTGGTAAAGAAATATGCAAGCTGAAGTCGAGTAGGAACATAATGAGTAGAATTTCACGTTGCTGGACGCATTTACTAACAATATAACAAACAATATCAATATGTTTCCTTTGTTTGTGAATAATCAAATTTACTACAATGAGCAAATCCGATTAATTATTACAAAACAAGCAAGGAATGTTGAAAGCTAGAACACCACGAGCTCTCTGAATATCCCATATCCATCAAATATTTATGCAGTCATTCGTGATAGTGCGATATTCTGCTTCGTAGATGAATGAGAAAGAGTAATCGAATTTTCAGTCTTCTAGGAGATATGAGGATTGCCATCCAACATAAAAAAATACTTGTTAACAAAACGTCTAGAAAATGGAATCTTACCTAATCTGAGTCACAATGAGTAGAAATTCACAAATTGCTATCACTTTGAAGAAGAATACATACCTTGGCCTAGATGCCCTTTGAGGTAGCGAAGAAGACGCGTGGCGACAGAAAAAGATCAGCTATAGAAGCATGTATAAATTTTGAAAAAAGATGAACACAACAGGCCAGATTCAGGCCTAATAATAGTAAAATAGATCAAGCGGCCCACAATATGGTTGCGTGGATCGTGCCAACCCATGAGTGAAGTTTTTACCTGCAACTAAAATATCGTTAATATAAACCATCAATTTACCAAAGAGTTCCGTAGGTAGCTCTGATCTTTCCTATGATATCGGGTTCAATGTCACCGAAATGGTGCTATAGTTATATCAAAGTGGCCATATGTTTGGAAGACTAAATCCTAGCCACTAAGTTCCGATCACTTGTCTTGGAGATATTTTGCCTTTAGTGATTGACCTTCTTTGGCTTTTTGCACTTTAGTTTTGTGTATGTTTTTCAGATGGGCAATGCTAGGGGTACACCAACATGGGGTACCCCAAGTGTACACCAAGCCAACACAGACACAAAATGTCTGTGCAACACAGACACTTTATGTCTGTGTGTGTCTGTGTTGGCTTGGTATACACTTGGGGTACCCCATATTGGTGTACCCTAGCTTAATTCTTTTCGGATTCTTCATGATTATGAAGATCTATGAGTACGTGCATGCGTGTAAAGTCTTGAGAAAAAGGCCTTGTACCTAGTGGTGGAAGGCTTACCTTTTGAGAGTTTGACATATTTCAATTCTCACCCCCCCCCGGTGGGGACATGTACTATAATATCAAGTCTTCAAAATCTACTTTTCTTTTTCTTCTTATTTGATTTTTTTATATTTACCCTTGGAATTTTAGCATTTTCAAAATTACAAAAAAAAATCATTTTACCATTCTGTGCTTATGTCACAAGTCACAACATCTTTAATGTGGGAAAAAGACTAAAGTAGGAGTAAAATTAAACATTGAAAGGACTTCCATGTTTTAAATTCCTGAAATATGAGTTAAAATGTACGGAGTATTTACGTTACCAAACGTGATCATGTACATTACTAAAAAATATAGTAATGTGCACGTGTATAGTGCGACATTACATCCACATTACCACAATGCGAACTCCTATTTCGAGAATAAAAACATGAAAGTCTTATTTTTATACTTTTTCAATGTTTTAATTTTATTTAGGGCGATGTTCTACTTTAATATCACACCTACATTTCATAAATATGAAAAGGAAACAACATTGTTTTTTTTGTCTAAAATTTCCTAATTTTTTCTCGGTCAAGAGTCAATTGGTGCGGGTGGAATATATTTTTTCCTAGTTCTTTTTTCACTAATCATTATAACCTTTTTTATATATTGAAAAATAAATTAATGTAAAAATGAAGTATGTCAATATTCATTCAAAGGTGTTCTTGACCATGGGTGTTGTTATATCCATTCAAAGTGATTTATTAGGTCTCGTAAATACTCCGTATTTGTATGGGGCGGTTCCCATGACATTTAACTTGAACCACATGTCATAGGATGACCCGAAACTGCAACGGTGCCGCATTCATAAAATTGAAAATTATTACATCCTCTAACCCCCCCCCCCACCCACCGCCCTCCACGTACACTTCGTACTTGTATATACTCCCTCCGTCCAATAATAATGTTTCTGTTGCGCGTTACGATGCTTGACTTAATTTATTTTCAAATTATTTTATATGAAAAATCATATGAAATTTAAAATTTAAAATTTAAAAACTACACAAAATTTACAAAACTAGAAGTAACATGATTATATAATTTTATCAAATGAGCAACGAAAATATATCAAAAAATGAATAAAATTTGATCATGTGAATAATGAACGAAAACATTATTATTGGACGGTGCGAGTATATAATAAAAAGAGTGAAAATTACTACGTATATTGCAAGTGATGAGTACATTAGGAGTACGCGTAATGCACCCGGCCCATGTTGATCAGTTAAATACAATTAGACCCGTAACAATGAGGCCCGCTAACTGAGGAGGGAAACCCACTTGAGAGGGTTCAGGTCACCTAGCCCGTAAATGAGGCAAAGCCTACGTGAAAATGGGCTTTGGGCTTTGGAAGCGAGACTAAAGATTGCGTGGTATACTCCCTCGGCTCCGCTTTAAAATTTTCATTTTGTGTGCATCTCCAAATACATTTCAATACATATATATAAAATCTAAGATTCACTATATTTCTCATTTATTATAGGTAGAAACTATTTTGGATCTATTTTAAATTGTGTAGAAGTATTTTATGAGATGCGAAAAAATAAAATAAGAAGTGTTTTTAAAGATTGAGGGAGTTCTTCATAGTCTCCACCCCAAAAAAATATATCACATTGCGCCAAACGAAGTAAAAGTTGTTCGAATAAAATTTTTAATTTATTTTATTAAAATATTGATATAGAAATAAAAAATATATTAACATACTGAAAAAATACATCAAAAATTTATTTCATACAAAAAAAAGTAACAAAATATGTTATTTTGTCAAATATCAATGAAAACGCAAAAATTAAATAAAATTCCCATGATCTTTTAATAGTAAAGTATTGTATTCTTTTTTTAACTACTCGAGTAAGAAATTTGCTGAATTAGAAGTTACTCCATCTATTTTTTAAAACACTTTCTCTTTCATTTTTCTTCTCTTCCACCAACATGCTTCCATTTTCTATTAAAAAAATTACTTTTACCCTTAATTTTTGTACCCTAGCTATCACATCATATTTTTATTCTAATAATCTATTCATCATAGATTACTTTAATGCATCACATCAATGCAAAATTAGAAGTCAACTATAATTTAATACTTTCTTAATTAGCCTTTGGTCAAAATGAGAAGAGTTTTCCCAAACGGAGGGAGTACAAGTTAAAAAATCATACTAAATAGGAGCAAAACAAAGAAAAAGTACCAATATAAGAGTTTCATGTTTTTATTACCTAAAAAGAATTCACAATGTGGCAATGTGACATTGTATATTTGCATTTTATTATACTTTTTGATAATATACATGGTCATTATTGATAATATAAAATGTAATTACATTTTAACTCTTATTTCGTAAGTAAAAACATAAAACTCTTATTTTAGTATATTTTAAATGTTTTACTCCTACTTTAGGCTTTTTTTTTTACAAGTTCGAGAATTAACTTTTTTTCAATCAAATTCTCACATTAAAGACAATATATTCGTCATATTTTGGTGTTTAATATTAAATCTATCTTTCATTCTTTCACTCCGTTCCTTCGTAAAATATCCCATT